TTTAATCATAGAATTGAAAAGAAAAAAAAGGTGAGTGGTGCATTGAGGTATATGTGGTTTTTAAAAAAACGTTATCTATGGAGGCAAAGAAGGGAATGTTTGAAAGTATAGTAGTACCAACACTTTATTGGATGTGAAGCTTGGGTGGTAAATGCAGCAGCGAGGAGACGGTTGGAGGCAGTGGAGATGCCCTGTCTAAGGGCAATGTGTGGTGTAAATTTATGCAGAAAAATTCGGAGTGTGGAAATTAGGAAAAGGTGTGGAGTTAATAAAGTATTAGTCAGAGGGAGAAGAAGGGGGGTTTGTTGAGGTGGTTTGGTCATTTAGAGAGAATGGATAAAGTAGAATGACATGGAAAGCATATAAATCTATAGGGGAAGGAAGGCGGGGTAGGGGTCGTCCTTGAAAGGGTTGGAGAGAGGGGGGTAAAGGAGGTTTTGTGGGCGAGGGGCTTGGACTTCCAGCAAGCGTGCATGAGCGTGTTAGATAGGAGTGAATGGAGACGTATGTTATTTGGGACCTGATAAATCTGTTGGAGTGTGAGCAGGGTAATATTTAGTGAAGGGATTCAGAGAAACGGTTATTTTTATTAGTCGGACTTGAGTCCTGGAAATGGGAAGTACAATGCCTGCACTTTAAAGGAGGGGTTTGGGATATTAGCAGTTTGGAGGGATATGTTGTGTATCTTTATACGTATATATGTATATGCTTCTAAGCTGTTGTATTCTGAGCACCTCTGCAAAAACAGTGATAATGTGTGAGTGTGGTGAAAGTGTTGAATGATGATGAAAGTATTTTCTTTTTGGGGATTTTCTTTCTTTTTTTGGGTCACCCTGCCTCGGTGGGAGACGGCCGACTTGTTGGGGAAGAGAAAAAAAAAAAAAAAAAAAAAAACTAAATACAATATTCAAAAGTAAATAAATACAAGTTTATCCTATCATTAACTGCACAGTACTGTACAGTGCTTTACAATGGTGCTTTTGCACCCTCAAAGTTGAAATATCATATGTCAAGCCATCATAAAGTGAGGAGCATCTGTACATCACAGCACTCAAGAACATCTTATGAAATGGGATAAGGCTAGTCTGTAAATTAAAAGGATGACCGACAGAGATGGCAATGCTTAGGAAACAGTAATGTTAAACAATATCTAACAGAGATGAACAAAACTCTAGGGGAGATTTCAGGGATCTTTGATGTACTGTACTCTCAAAAACGATTGTACCTCAAGATAGAGCGTTTGTAAGACATGGCCCCAGTCACACAGCACATACTACTGTCATCATGCCCAACTCCTCTCTACTACTCAAGCCATTTGTTCAGTAAATTCTGTACAATGTTGACAAAGCCTCAATGGCGAAACATTTCCTCAACAAATTTTTATTTTTTTTTTATACATCGGCCGTCTCCCACCCAAAGGTAGGGCGGCTCAAAAAGAAAACTTTCATTCATCATTCAAATCCATCACTGTCTTGCCAGAGGAATGCTTACCTACAGCTATAAAATTGCAACATTAACACCCCTCCTTCAGAGTGCAGCACTACTTCCCATCTTCAGGACCCCAAATCCGGCCCGCCGGTTTTTCCCTTTAATCCCTTCATAAATGTTACCTTGCTCACATTCAAAAAGCACATCAAGTCCTTTAAAATCCATCTGTCTCCATTCACCCCTATCTAAAAATGCTCACGCATGCTTGCTGGAAGTCCAAGCCCTTGCGCACAAAACCTCCTTTACCCCTTCCCTCCAACCTTTAAAGTGGGCAGACCCCTATCCTGCCCTTTCCCCCCACTACAGATTTACACACTCTCAAAAATCATTCTATTTCCTTCCATCCCCTTTACACGTCCAAACCACCTCAACAAAACCCCCCCTCAACCTCTGGTTTAAAAGTTTTGGTAATCCCGCACCTCCTAATTTCCAACTACAAAATTCCCCTGCATTATATTCACACCACAATTGGACATCATCTCCAGCCTTCTCCTTTTTGCAACAGTCACCACCCATGCATCACACCCACATAAGAGCATTTGGGATAACTATACTCTCTCATACATTCCACTCTTTGCTTTCTGGCGAAAGCCTTTGTTTCCACAGACTCCTAAATGCACCAATCACCTTTTTACCCTCATCAATTGTATTTAAATTCCCCCTAACTTTCATAGACCCTCTGCTGACACGTCACTCTTTTAAAAATCTGAATACATTCACCTCCTCCATTACTCTCTCCCTCAAATTGATATCCAATCTTACATCACCTAATTTTTTTTTTTCCTCATCACCTTACCCTTTCCTATATTTCACTTTTAATTTTCTTTACAAACCCTACCAAACTCATCCACTAACCTCTACAACTTCTCTTCAGAATCTTCCAAAAGCACAGCATATCTGCAAAGCGCAACTGTGACAACTCCACCTTGTATTAGATTCTCTATCTTTCAACCCCACATCTTGCCAACACCCACGCATTCACTTTTCTTACAACCCATCTATAAATACACTGAACAACCACGATGCCCATCACACATCCCTGTCTAAGACCTACTTTTACTGGGAAATAATCTCCCTCTTTCCTACTTTACTCTAACCTGAGCCTCACTATCCTCATAAAAACTCTTCACTGCTTTCAATAACCTACCTCCTATTCCATACATTTGCAACATCTGCCATTGACCCTCTATCCACCCTGTCATATGCCTTTTCCAAATCCTAAATGTCACAAAAACCTCTTTATCCTTATCTAAATACTGTTCACCTTTATGTTTCATTGTAAACACTTGGGTCTACACACCCCCTGCCTTTCTTAAAGCTCCTTGTTCGTCTATCCTACTCTCCGTCTTACTCTTAATTTTTTCAATAATAAAATTACTATACAATGCCTGCACTTTAAAGGAGGGATTTGGGATATTGGCAGTTTGGAGGGATATGTTGTGTATCTTCATACGTATATGCTTTAAACTGTTTTTATTCTGAGCACCTCTGCAAAAAACAGGGGTAATGTGTTGGTGTGGTGGAAAGTGTTGAAAGATGATGAAAGTATTTTTTTTTTTGGGGATTTTCTTTCTTTTTTGGGTCACCCTGCCTCGGTGGGAGACGGCCGACTTGTTGGAAAAAAAAAAAAAAAAAAAAATACTATACTCTTTTCCAGGGATAACCAACAGGCTTATTCCCTACAATTTTTGCACTCTTTTGTCCCCCTTTTCTTTTAAACAAAGGAACTATGCCTCTCTATTTAACCCCTAGGTACCTTACCCTCTTCAACACATTTATTAAATAATAGCACCAACCCACCCAAAACTATATCCTCACCTGCTTTTAACATTTCTATTTTTATCCCATCAATCCCGGCTGCCTTACCCCTTTCATTTTACCTACTACCTCACGAACTTCCCCACACTCACAACTGGCTCTTCCTCACTCCTACAAGATGTTATTCTTCCTTGCCCTGTACATGAAATCAAAGCTTCCCTATCTTCATCAACATTTAAAAAAATTTCCCGGCAAAATGTCCCAAGTATTTCATGTTTGTCTTTACCCCACACTGTCGACATTGATATAAATCCCTAGTCTATTATTATTATTAATACTTATTATTTTTTTAACATACTGGCTGTCTTCCACTGAGGCAGGATGACCCAAAACAAACACTTTCACCATTAATATTATTACGTATTATTATTATTTTTACTGTATTTAAAGCAAAAAATGAAAAATTTAATAACCATATTATTCTTGGCAGCAATATTTTGCCGCAGTGTCCCAGGGCTTAGCTGGCAGTGCACTTGCCTTACACACTGTCCTGGTTCAACCCCCAAACACAAGTGGAAATAATTGGTCATGTTTCCTTACACCTTGTCCCTGTTCCCCTAGCAGTAAAGTAGGTAGGTACTTGTCTTAGCCGACTGATGTGGGTGGCACCCTGGGGAACAAGCTAAAGGATTCCATGGAAATAAGACAGACAGTACTCAATGATGCACTGACTTTCTTGGTTATCCTGGGTGGCTAACCCTTTTGGGTTAAAAACAAATTTTAGCTCATCTTACCTTATTCTTTGTTACACATTTGCACAATATATGACACACTATTTTAACTTTTCTCAATTTTGAAAGACACCATAAATGTCACTACAGTACTGTAATCTTCAACTCTAAGTCTAAACCCGAGGTTTCTTGAGTCTTCAGAGTGACTAGCCGGCGTTAATGTGATAAACCAGTCGGAAAATTTCTCTCATGATATTACAGTAATGCACGCTGGAAAACAAGGACATTTCCAAATTTTTGTTTCCTTTCAAAATTATAATTTATTAATGGGAGTTTTAAAACACTTAATTATCCATCTGATTCTTAAGGATGATAAATTTAAAACAAATACAAATTTAAAGAGTGTAATTCTGCAGCATTTCTGTCTCATGTTTAAAAAGAAAGATAAAGGCCAAAGGTGGTATTACAATTATAACACAATGGATTAATGTTATTTGTACGTATATTTGAGACAAAAATTGAGTAATGAGGATTGTTTTTTGCCATTAATGTAACCAAGAAGTAGAACTTTTGATACAAAGCACACAAAAACCAAAATTGAATTGTAAGTGCATACAAATACGTATTACTAAATGACCTTACATTTTGCCCAATCTATGGGGAAGGGGACAAAAGAATTCTTCCTCCGTAAGCCATGTGTTACAAGAGGAAATTAGAATGCCAGGAGAAGGGCTAGTAACCCTTCTCCTGTATACATTACTAAATGTAAAAAAGAAATATTTTCATTTCTTCTTTTACAAATCCCCCTGCTGCCTCGGTGGAAGATGGCGTTGTGTGTTATAAAAACAAAAAAAAGCCAAAGAATCAGGTATTGATCTACAAATATATGCAGACTTGTACTGTAATGTCTAGAAGAGATTGAAACACTGTCTAAAGTTCTCCTCCCAAACTGTGGGCTACATGTAAAAAAAGGCAAACTACACTCTCAAACTATATATTTACAAGTGGAACCTCGGCTTACGAATGCCCCCCCATGCGAACTTTTGCAGGATATGAACCGTCATTTGGTCGATTTTTTGCTCCTGGATTACGAAGGAAATTTCAGGATGCAAACTTACCCCTCAAGGGAGGTTCCTTAAAAAAATAAAAAAAAATATTTTTTTCTTTGCAAAGGTTACAGTGTGTATTTACATATAATATAATTGAAGCAAAGAAAGCCCACTATCAAGCTGAGGTATTTCGGGCAGACAACCTAATACCAAGAGACTACTCAAGTCTAGACAGGTGAAAAGTGTACTAGTAGTGGTTACCAATGTTTTGCTTGAGTGGCACCAACTACTGGCAGCCTTCTGAATTTTCTCCTTTACTTTTTTTTACTATTACTATTCTTCTTTCTTTCTTTCAACACACCGGCCGTATCCCACCGGGGCGGGGTGGCCCAAAAGGAAAAACGAAATTTTCTCCTTTTACTTTATTTAAAAATTCAGGAGAAGGGTTTACTGCCCTTGCCCCCGCTTTTTAGTTGCCTCTTACAACACCAGGCTTGGAGGAAGAATTCTGTTCCATTCCCATGGAGATAAGAGGAAAAAAACAAGAATAAGAACTAGAAAGAAAATAGAAAAAAACCCAGGGGGGTGTGTATATAGTCTTGTATGTATGTGTAGTGTCCTAAGGTAGTAGAATAGAAGACGTACCTGAAATTTTGCATGTTCTGAGACGAAAAAAGGACACCAAAATCCTCCCATCATGTAAAAAAATTACAGGTTTTTCTTTTTACACTCACTTGGGAGGACGGTAGTACCTCCCCGGGGGGTTGCGTTTACCAACTATACCTATAACATTTATTATATTGATTATTATTATTGTTTTAATAAAGACTTTTTTTTTCAACAAGTCGGGCCCCTCCCCCCGGGCAGGGGGAAACAAAAAAGAAAGGAAAACCCCCCAAAAAAAAAATACTTTCATCATCATTCAACATTTTACCTCACTCACACTAATCACTGTTTTTACAGGTGCTCAAACACAACATTCGAAGCACATACGTTAAAGATACACAAAATCCCTCCAAACTGAAAATATCCCAAAAATCCCTCCTTTAGAGTGCAGGCATTGTCTTCCCATTTCCAGGACTCAAGCCCGGGTATATAAAAAATAACGGTTTTCCCCTGAATCCCTTCCAAAATATTACCGCTCACACCCAACAATCGTCGGGCCCCAAAAATCCATTCGTCCCCATTCACCTACGAAACGTCTGCCCCTGCTAAAAGTCCAACCCCCTTTCCCCAAAAAAACCCCCCTTCCCCCTTCTTCCAATTTTTTCAGGAGACCCCTCCCAGCCTTTTCACAGTTTTAAATGCTCTCCATGTCTTCTCTTTGACCATCCTCAAAAGACCAAACCCCCTCAACAACCCCTTTTCGCCCTCTGACAAATGCTTTTTTAAAACTCCACACCTTCTCCTAATTTCCAACTCCAAATTTTCTGCTAATATTTTCAAAAGCACATTGCCCCTTTGACAGGCGTCACTGCCTCAAAACCCCCTCCCGTGTGCTTAAACCCCAAATCACGCCCCTATAAGAGTGTTGGTACTATATACTTTATACTTCCCCCTTTGCCCCCACAGTAAGTTTTTTAATCCACATATACCCCAAGCACCACTCACTTTTTTTCCCTCTCAATTCAATTAACCCCATCCTTCTAAACCATCCGCCGAACGTCAACCCCAAGTATCTGAAAACATTCACTTCTTTTTTTACTCCTCCCCAATTTGAAACCAATTTTTTTTTATCTAAATCAATAATAAAACAAAATATTTTTATTATTATTATTTTTATACTATGTTAAATATAATGAAAAAAATGTAAAAAAATGTATAACAACAACAATATAATAAAAATATAATACATAATAGTACAATATAATTAAATTTAAACTAAAGTACGTACTGCAATAATCAGTTGCACCCGACAATGGTCACCAGTGCACATGTGCTTTCAAACTATCCTCCGGTGCAAGAAGTCTCATGATTTCCTTACGTTTCATGCAGTTAATTCATCAGATTTTTTTTTTTCTTCTAATCATGGGTATTAAGAAAGCAAGTGCAAAGGACAGTGTGAGAAGAAAAAGATGATATTTGCATGGAATTAAAACAAGAAATCATTGATAAGCACAGACTAGGAACGAGGGTTAAGGTTTGGTGAGTGAGTACAAGCTTTAGCCCCTCTAATATACAACAATACTAAAGCAGGAGCCTTAAAAGCTATAGCGCCAGGAAAGGGTGTTACAGAAATTTCCCTTTAAACAACGGACCCTTGTCAATGAAAGTTTGAAAAGCTGCTGTTGACATGGTTGACTGAGAAACAGCTCACATGAGATACGTAGTGTAGCGAGATAAAATATAAATACTATTGAACCCTGACAGGTTTCTGCCCCCTCTGCATTTCTTCTCCAAAGGTATGTAAAGTCGTATGTGCACCAGTTTCTAATTCAGCCTTACAAACTGGTTTCTCTTATATTACACCTCTTGACGTTTTCATAAGGGAAAATGCGCGCCCTCTCATGACCACAATCCTTTTCCCTCCGCTGTCCAAGTAATGACATATTTTATTCATTCTAGATGTATATCAGGTTTCTATGTTATTTATACTGTTTATTATGCCATATTAGATGAATTGTGACAGATAATAAGCCGTAGAGTTGATAATAGGGTTATTTTGTCATGCCTCCTGGAGCGGAACTCAGCTGGAACAAATTATTGCATTTCAATTAATTTTAAAAGAGGAAAATTGACCCAGCTTACCAACAATCAGGATACAAACAAGTTCATGGAACAGACCGAATTCGTAAGCCGAGGGTTCCACTGTACTAGTTCACAAAAACTGTACGTGGGGGCTTTAATAGCCCTTCATGGGAGATGGGCAATGTAGTCAAAAGGCTTTAAAATAAATAATAAATTACTTTTTTAATTATAATTCACTGAAACTACAACCTGTCATAAAGATAGCAAAGTTTCATTTCAGTTTTATTAGGTCTCCCCAGAGGTACTGTACCTTAGGGGGTTACCAGCTCTTATTTCCCCAAAGATTTTTGATTAAAACTTGAATGCTTTATTTTATTAGCTTAAAATTTTCAACACAAGTGAACTGTAATGGAATGTTCATGGAAATAATGGCTTGCACAGATGTCACCTAGACAATTTCACAAACCCCCTACCACCACTCCCAATTTTAGTTTCCACATGATAACTTGAGACATCTCTTCTGATCAGCTTGAAACTTAAAAACATTGGTGTATCCACTAGTGTAGCCAATTTTATCTTCCTGGAAAATAGTTATTATCACATCATCATATTTGTTAGTGGTTAACAGTCAATGATTTTTTTTTTTTTGATAATTGCAACAGCTTATTTCTGTATGTGTATCTTCCGTAGATACCTAATTTACATCCTCCCTTATTTTTATAAATACAAATATCAATCCTGATATCAACATCTTACTGAAACTGCACAATAATCCTAACGTAATTGCCATTTATTTACACTGCCAGTCAGGCTAAAACTTACATAGTGCCAGCAAGAACATGACATTTTTTTAACTATAATGTTAGATCATTGAGTAAAACTAAAGAAGACCTCATTGCATTACTGAAGTCTCTAAATGCTACTATAACTTTCATTATTCTTACTGAAACCTGGCTCAAACAAGATTTGACAGACATATTTCATACCTAGTTACAAGCCATACATAATTGCAGGCCTGACCAAACTAGGGGAAGGCACTGCCCTCTACTACTCTGACAAACTGGAATGTATGAGTAACAAAAAAAAGGCACAATACTGTGACTGGAACGATACACAAATAACCGAAATGTCGTCACAAAACTCCTCTCTTCTATGTGCAGGTTATTTGTGTATGGAATGTATGAAATTTACTTTGGGCAAGGGACGACAATGGTGAATATATAACAGTTAAATTCACATCTAAAAACTTAAAAAAAAAAACTATAATAGTCCCACAGATTAGCACACACAAAATATTACACTTTTAGTGGTAACCTTAGAAAAAGGATAAAATGACTCAGAATTGATTTTAACACCACCTGATACTTACAGGAGACTTCAACATAAACCTCATCCAATCAACTGCCCCTTCAGTAGCTGATTTCACAAACCTATGAAAACTACTTGCTGCTACCTTCATAACAAAGCCAACAAGAATCTGAGACAAGTGCCTCATTACTTGAGCATATCTGGATCAACACGATAATCTCCACTACAAGCAGGTATAATCACAGACAACACTTACAAGCCACTACCCCACCTTTCTCAAAACCCAACTTACTTTAAATTGCCTCAAAGACTCGAGAAAGATCTCATTTCGCCTGAATAAAGAGCCATCGGTAAATAATTTATACTAGCCCTAGGTGACAATGTTTGGGCAGAGAGCTAGCTGACAGCAATATTGACAAAAATGTCAAAACTTTTTTACATAAAACCCAAAACCTCTATAACAGATATTGTTCAATCAAAATGAAGCAGATCACAGCAGAGACTAACAGCCCTGGCTAACAAATAGTATCCTCAAATCCATTGATAAAAGCACCAACTTGAAAAACTGTTCAAATTAGGCCAGATTACTAAAGAACTGGAAAATCGGTACACGGTCAATACTCAGAAACTACAGTGGAACCCCGAGTTTCAGCTGCCCGAGCATCCCGGGCCCCTTCGAGTTTCAAAAAGATTTTTTCGGCTAAAATTGTCCCAAGTTTAGGCCTGTGCCCCGTGTTTCAGCGGAGTATCAGGCCTGTCTGCCTGCCCGCACCTGTGCGGTAGGCGCCATGCGCCAGTCTAGCTTTGCTTATCCTTGAGAGAACATTACCTGTGCGCTCACCAAACATTTCACAATACATAATTTTATTGCATTTAGTGCTTTTTTACTGATTGTGACTGTGAAATAAGCCACCATGAGAAACTTGCTTCAGAGGAGGAGGAGAAAGAGGGAGTGAAGGAGGTGCCTTCTTCAGTGGTTAAGGACATGTGTGGGAATGTGGATTAAGTTGCAAAGTTTTGTGGAAAAATACCACCCTGAGCAAGCTGAAACAAGCCATCTCTGCAACATGCTCAGTGACAAAACAATGTCCCATTTTAGGCAAATCTTAAAGAGATGCCAGGAAAGGAGCACTCTCAAAAGTTATTTTGTGTGACAGGGGTCCAGTGACTCTCAAGCGGGTTTCCTAGTGGCATTAAAAGACAAAGAAGAAAGTAACCCCAGATAAGGACTTGTTACCTAAAGTCTTTATTGAAGGGGATTCCCCTTCCAAACAATAATTCTCCCTCTCTCCTCCCCCCCCTTTCTTCCAGATACCAGAAAGACTCTTCAAAAATGGTACGTAAATGTGATTTCAAATGTTTATTATGTATTGTATTATCATTTAAGTACTATATGTATGTTTAAACTATAGTTAATCTTTAAAAAATCCCTTTTTGTGAATATTTTTTGGGTCTGGAACGGATTAATTTTATTTACATTATTTCTTATAGGAAATATTGCTTCGACTTTAGGCCATTTCGAGTTTAGGCCTACTCCTGGAACAGATTACACCCAAAAAACTCAAGGTTCCACTGTAATACGAAAATCAAAGCAAATGCTTACAAAAACAGATTTTTTTTTTTTTTTTTTTTCAACAAGTCGGTCGTCTCCCACCGAGGCAGGGTGACCCAAAAAAGAAAGAAAATCCCCAAAAAGAAAATACTTTCATCATCATTCAACACTTTCACCACACTCGCACATTATCACTGTTTTTGCAGAGGTGCTCAAAATACAAACAGTCTGAAGCATACACATATAAAGATACACAACATATCCCCAAACTGCCAATATCCCAAAAACCCTCCTTTAAAGTGCAGGCATTGTACTTCCATTTCCGGATCAGTCCGACTATATGAAAATAACCGGTTTCCCTGAATCCCTACTAAATATTACCTGCTCACACTCCAACAGAACGTCAGGTCCCAAGTACCATTCGTCTCCATTCCTATCTAAAACGCTCACGCACGCTTGCTGGAAGTCCAAGCCCTTACCCACAAAAAACCTTTCTTTACCCCCTCTCTCACCCTTTCGAGGAAAACCCTACCCCGCCTTCCTTTTCCCTATAGATTTATTGAAATAAAAGGTGATATGAAAGGGACCTGGCAAACCCTCTCCAAAAGTTTGGGCTCTAGAATCTGTCTAGAAAACAGAGAGATTAAAAATTTATTGAACCAGGGTGAACCTCACATACAGCCTATAGACACGGCCAACAAAATTTTAAAGTCTTCTTCGCTACTGTAGGATCAAAGCTAGCAAGCAAAATTCCAAGCTCAAATACCCAGCAAAAGACTACCCCACTGGCAACTACCCAAATACACCTACAATCCGACTTACGACCTGCTCGACTTACGACCACTCGACTTATGACCGTGTTTTTTATGCCAAATTTCTGGGAAATAAACAACTATTTCTGTTGTACACAGTGTTTATCCTAAACCTTACAGTATAAAATACAGTACTAACAACATAAAAAGTAAAGTAAAACATGAAATACCAAAATAAAACAAAATAAAGTCATTACAAAAATGTTTTGTTGATATTCAGTAGTAAAGTTCGACTTACGGCCATTTCGACTTACGACCGGTTTCTTGGAACCGAACTCTGTCTTAAGTCGGATGGTAGGTGTACTCTATATCTAGCTCCAACTAATTTCTACTGAAGTCTCACTCATCATTAAATCATTAAAAAACAAAGAAGAAGATCTAAATAACTTACCACCATTCATATATAAAAAAGCAGCTCATGTGCAGTCACCCCATTATCGCAACAATGTTTAACAAATCTGTAGAATCCTCAACCTTCCCATCTATACTCAAGACAGCAAAGGGTCACCCGATCCTCAAAGGAGGTGATCCAACTGATTTGAACAACTACAGACCTATATCAAACTTGCCTTACTTTTGATACAATGGACCACAATCTCCTGCACCTAAAACTAAATCATTACAGCATCAGAGGACATTCCCTCAATTACCCCAAATCTTATCTTAACAATAGACACCAGTATGTATACACAAATGAAGTCAGTTCCACTATTCAGCCTGTAGCTGTCTGAGTGCCCCAGGTTAGTGCCCTAGGCCCACTCCTCTTTCTCGTTTACATCAATGATCTCCCCAATGCATCTAAACTCCTTAAACCAGTTCTATTCTCAGATGACACTATTTATGTCTACTCCCACTCAAACCCAGCTATACTTAGAGACACTGTAAACAACGAGCTGCTAAAAATGTATACACGTATTGGATGATGACTAACAAACTCACTCTCAACACAGACAAAACATACTTCATGCTGTTTGGAAGCAGCCTTAAATTATCCAACTTAATATACAATAAATGGTTTCCCCTATTACAAGACACAATGAGGGTAAATTTCTAGGTCTTCTTGACTGCAATCTTAAATTTTATTCCCACATCCATCATATCTCCAAGAAAATTTCCAAATCAGTAGGCATCCTTTCCAAGATATGATATTATGTACCCCAAATGACACCTTACCCTATACCACTCTTTTAAATATATCCCTATCTCACCTATGGTATTTGTGCCTGAGGATCAACCACAGCAGCCACCTTAAACCTTTAATAACCCAACAAAAATCTGTTGTTCGGATGAATACCAGCTCCTGTGCTAGACAGCACCACACCACCACTTTTCAAAAGCCTGAACTTACTAAATATATGAGACACATATTTTATTGTGCCTACAACATATGCAAAACATTAAACTCAAATATAAACCCTCCACTTAAATTTCACCTTGATAGCTACAACAGAACGCAGTCACAACACAAGGCATAAGGCACTCTTCGACATCCCTCATGTCAGTCTCACACTATGTAAAAATATAATGCATATAAAGGACCTGAAGATCTGGAATTCACTACCTGAACTGGTAAAGGATCCCCTGACTACTTATAAATTTAGGACTTACTTAAAAATCATCTCATGTCTCAGTACTAACTAAACCAACCAAAACAACTTCTAATCAGCTGAAGCAACTCTCCCAAATATTATATTATATATGAACCTCTAGTCTATATAAACATCTGCCAATCCATGAAATATTACTGTTTGAACCATATTTGTAATATTTTTTATGTGCAACTTCAAGATTATTATTCCTATAAAATTCCACCTTGACAACCTTGCATTAGTATTAAGGCTAAATGAAGGTTTTAATACAGGTTAACCACTCTTATCTTGTCTAGATTTAAGTTAGTCATTATGTACGTACTAGGATCAGTCTGTCTGAAATGCCCCGGCATGATAGTGGCTTTCTTTGTACTTAGCAAACCTAAGCTGTAATCTCACACTGTAACCATTACAAAGATATAAACTATCTCTCTAAATGTGAGAAATACAACGTACCCAAGTTGTGTTTGAGAGACCCCCGTCTGCAGGAGGAAGGTGGAGAGCAGCAGCTGGGTAGTGATGTCCAAGAGAAGATCTTCCTTTACCTCACAAGTGTCCCAATCCTCTCCACAAGCCATCTCGTCCATCCATAGCGTCACCTGACTCTCTGGGATACAGCAAGTGTCAAGAATTGTGCATGCCAAAAAGAACAAAATGGCACAATAACATGACTGGAACAATGCACAAACATCTCGCACACAGGAGAACAAAACTACAATGACATTTCAGTCCCTCTAGTTAATGGCACAGGTCAGACCAAAACATCATCACAAGTTTCATTCTCCGATGTGGGGGTTATTAGTGTATTGTGCATGCATAAAGATATCACCATACTGCAGTACATTTAATCAAGCTATAAATCTATCTTTCTTTCAACACACTGGCAGTATCCCACCAAGGCAGGGTGGCCCAAAAGGAAAAACTAAAGTTTCTCCTTTTATCTTTAGTAATATATACAGGAGAAGGGGTTACTAGCCCCTTGCTCCCGACATTTTAGTCGCCTCTTACATCACGCATTGCTTACGGAGGAAGAATTCTGTTCCACTTTCCACATTAATAAAACACTGATACACTTCACAAACCACATTGATCACACACTCCTTGCATATATGGAACTCTGCATATTAACAAAACATCTCACAAAAACAAATCTGCATAGAGCAAATCCGAATAAAGCAATCAGCATGTATACTCAAACTATGGTATGGCAATGTGTATGCAGTAGTAGTTTCTATTCGTATCATGATAAATTTTGCATTTACAATGGAAAATACTACATATACAGAAAGCCACCCATTTAAATACAAGCTGTGTTCAAGGTAATTCAACTTACAAATGAGATGTTTGTAAAAACAAAGAATGCAAAGGATGGATGGGTTTTACATGCATCAGTACTGTAGCTCAACTCCTGTAACACTATTTGGGTCATATATGTAAAGGACTGTATTCAGCTTGTGGTATTTATAAGTTTAATCCGTAAACGGTCCAAATGTATATTACGTTTTTACCGCTAGTGCCCCAAACGTATATCTACGTTTTATTTGTCATACATTCAACACTGCCACGATAAGCCTGAGTCGCCTAAACATGAGAGAATGGGTGTGCGCACTCACTGTGCACTGTATTAAAATAATTGGGGATGCCTGGGTACCATATGCTCTTTTTTCCTATTAAAAAAACTTTTTTTTTTTCTAAAAAAATTTGGGGCACTACACGAGAGAACGTATATATACGTTTGGACCGTTTACAGGTTAAATGTAACCTACTATACGTGTGTTATTTGTGATTATTATACCCCTAATATGTCTGGTGTTAAGCACAAACAAATGTACTACTTATTAACGAACCGCTCAAGACCAAACTGTTCATAAGTAGCGGGGGTATCTATCTCTATTTCTATATCTCTCTCTTTATCACTTATCTCTATCTCTCTTTTATCTTTCTCTAGCTCTATCTCTATCTCTATTTCACTATCTCTATCTTTATCTCTATTTTTTTCTTACACAGGGTTTGACAAGATTAGGTTAAGGATCCCTAGCTTTATTAAAAAGCTATTTACAGGCTAAGGATTCCTAACTTTATTGGCAAGCTAAGAGCTGTTACCTACATCAGCTCATTTGAAAGCATTTTTATTTTTAAAGAAACATACAAGTGGGGAAACAGAATGAATTGGAGCCATCTGTGGACAGCATTTTTCATCTGATCAACTGACTTCTTATTGACATCAAAGCTGTCCCGAATGTTTTCCCAAATTACTCAAGTCATCCTGGGGATAAATGATCTTAGATGAAGTGATGTTCTGGAGAAGGGTACACCCAGAGTGAAGTTGCTGCTCTCTGCCCGTATAGAAACTTGCTTCACGCTGTCCTCGAAGTGGATCCAAGTGTGGTACTTTGACAATTTTGGCCTGTACAAAACAGTAAGGCCACCCACACCCCTCCTGTGTTGAAGGCTCTGCTGAAAAAGACAGGAAGCTTACAGCACTTCGCCGTATCTCGCATCTGTTTGACAGTAGGGCTTGCAAGATTCTGTACGAGGCACAAGTACACTCACACCTTGAGTATGCTCCACTTTCTTGGTTAGCCTGCCCCCCTTCTCATCTGCGACTGCTTGACAGAAGGGAAAGCCTGGACCAATCCTGGATAGATCTGTCATTTCAGCAGAGCTTCAAACAAAGAGGGATGTGGGTGGCTTACTGTTATGTACAAAACCAAATTTTTCAAAGTACCACACTTGGATCCACTTCGAGGACAGCGTGAAAACAAGCTTTTATGCCACAAGACGGGCAGAAAGCAGCAACTTCACTCTGGATGTACCCTTCTCCAGAACATCACTTCATCTGAGATCATATATACCCAGGATGGGCTCGATCTGGAACACATTCGTACAGCATAATGACATCAACGAGATAAAGTCAGTTGATCAAATGAAAATGCTGGCCCACAGATGGCTCCAACTTCATCCTGTTCCCTACTTTTATGTCTCATAACAACAAAAAAGCTTTCAAATGAGCTGATGTAGGTAAGCTCTTAGCTTGCCAATAAAGTTAAGAATCCTTAACCTAACCCTGTCAAACACTGTGTAAAAAAAAATCTTTTTTATCTATCTCTCTCTCTTTATCTCTCTCTATCTCTCCCTATCTCTATCTCTCTCTCTTTAGCTATCTCTTTTTTCTTTAGCTCTATCTCTCTCTCTTTGCTCTATCTCTCTCTCTCTTTAGCTCTATCTCTCTCTTTAGCTCTATCTCTCTCTCTTTAGCTCTATCTCTCTCTCTTTAGCTCTATCTCTCTCTCTTTAGCTCTATCTCTCTCTCTTTAGCTCTATCTCTCTCTCTTTAACTCTATCTCTCTCTCTTTAACTCTATCTCTCTCTCTTTAGCTCTATCTCTCTCTTTAGCTCTATCTCTCTCTCTTTAGCTCTATCTCTCTCTTTAGCTCTATCTCTCTCTCTTTAGCTCTATCTCTCTCTCTTTAGCTCTATCTCTCTCTCTTTAGCTCTATCTCTCTCTCTTTAGCTCTATCTCTCTCTCTTTAGCTCTATCTCTCTCTCTTTATCTCTATCTCTCTCACGTGCATGCAAAGAATGGGGCCATCAACAATGAACAATACATATTCTCAGAGAATACAAGCTATTTGAAAAAAGTGTCACCAATGGTACCATTTCCCTTTGTTTTGAAGGTTCTCATTATCCACCCAGTCATCTTCATGGCTATCATGAGTCATGACATTTGCCATGTTGTTTCTTTAAAAGGACAGCTGACAATTATTCCCAGGTCTTTCACATGTCCCCTTCATCCTGTTTGACGATCCTCTTATATTTTGTATACGGTGTCCTCTATGAGTTCTTCATTCTTTCCATACCTAAGCAGTTGGAACTTATCACCACAGAATGTCATGCTGTTCTCCACTGCCCACTGGAAAACAATGCTTATATCTTCCAGCAATTTTTCGTGTCTTCTACCAAGGTGACTTTTCATGCTTATTTTGGCATCATCTGCAAATTATAATACAAAACTGTGGAGAGTTATTTTTAAATATGTCTTCTATGAGGATAAGAAACAACAGAGGCACCAGGACGGTGTCTTGAGGTACTGTGCTTTTTCCTTCTAATGCTGGATTCTGCTTTGTTTACTGAAGAAAGGTCTGGAGGAATATAAATGTAAAGTTAGAGAGTTTTGCAACAATCTCTAAAGAAAGATAGCAACTGATGGGCTTTATAAAAGCAGTTCATAACTCACTCTGAGCTGTGTAAATTTCACTTTGTCAATTTTATTAAACAAATTGTGTCCCATGATTTATACATGTTCTGTCTATCAGAAATTTGAAAATTCATCTACCTTCCCCACAGATACCTATGGCCTCATTTTGTGTGTTATACCTTCCCTATAAATACCTATGGCCCTCATTTTGTGTGCAATCATCCAATGATTGCATTTGTCGCAGTGTGATCGCCAGTGTAAATGTGTAATTTGAAGCAATGGTAAGTGCTGCTTTGTGTGACTTGGGAGCATTTGTAAATTGGATACCTCCTGTAACCAGCTGCCCAACTATGTACCCAGAAAAAAATTATTACATGTAATCCAAAACTTACTTGATTCAAGGACGGTAATGAGTGGAGTTAGCAAGCTGAGTGTAGGTCGTCGCAAAATTATGCAAGGCTTCCACTACCATTCCTTCCCACACTCCAGAATGCTCAATATATGCTCAATGGAGGTACTCACTTTTTTCTGGAATAAAAAAAAAGGAAAGAATGAGAGATGAATTTGAAAAAGAATGTAAGATCAGATGGTCCATACAGTACATCATGGGTAACACTGCATAACCAGCATAAGCAAACAATGAAATCAAGAGCTGTTGTTCCACCACTAGTTTCCCTACCAGCAAACAGCATGTGGAACTGACAGGAAAATGCCTTATTCATACCTAATTCATTACAATTTCATGACACAAAGAATGGCATTCACCCAAAAGTACACTACGAAGATTTAAAATAGGCGTCTTGACTCTCGATTGTCAGGAAGATACTAATTTTTCCTACTACAGCTACACAATTCATGCGCACCATCCACTGATGTACTGAGAAGTCTATTCACAGTACATGTAAACAACATATCACAATACCTGGCTGCAGCAATTCACAACCCAAAATACAGCAGATATAAATCTTTAGATAGACCAAAACAATGTTTAAAAGATACAATATTTCACATTTTTGGGGTGGTTTTAAATTGAACATATAACTTTTTTTTTCAACGAACCGGCCATATCCCACCGAGGCAGGATGATTTAAAAAGGAAAAAAAAAATGCAAGTTTTCTTTTTAAATTTAGTAATTTATACAGCAGAAGAGGTTACTAGCCCCATGCTTCCATGATATAACTTATGAATATATAAATATTTTTCCTAGCATAGTAAAATTTAAAATATGAACTATATATTAATAACCATTTTCTTTATATAAATAAATTAGACTCCATGGGAAAGTGGAAAAGAATCCTAACTTTGTAGGTCATGCGTGTTGTAAGAAGCGCCCTAAAATGCCGGGAGTAAGGGGCTAGTAACCCTTTCTGTATAAATTACTAAATTTAAAAAGAAAACTTGAAAATTGTTTTTTTTTTTAAGTCATCCTGCCTCGGTAGGATGCAACCAGTTTGTTGGAGAAAAAAAAAATTAGAATTTCAGTTTTTACATCAGTCACTTAGAATGTTACTCTTTATGAGCATTTGAAGCAAATGATAAGAAAGAGATGATTGTGGATGTTATGAATGAGAGAAGTGGATGTCCTGGCTTTAAGTGAAACAAAGCTGAAGGGGGTGGGAGAGTTTCAATGGAGAGGAATAAATGGGATTAGGTCAGGGGTTTCAAATAGAGTTAGAGCTAAAGAAGGATACAATAACGTTGAAGGATAAGCATGGCAGGAAAAGAGGGACTACAAATGTATAAATTCAAGGATATGTGGAGTAAAATAAAGATTGGATGTAAAAAGTGGGTTATAGTAAGAGTGTATGCACCTGGAGAAGAGAGAAGTGTAGAGGAGAGAGAGAGATTCGGGAAATGTTGAGTGAATGCGTGGGGGGAGTTTTGAATCAAGAGTGAGAGTAATGGTGGTTGAGGATTTCAATGCTAAAGTGGGAAAAAAATGTTATGGAGGGAGTAGTAGGTAAATTTGGGGTCCCAGAGGTAAATGTAAATGGGGAGCCTTTAATTAAAGCTATGTGTAGAAAGAAATTTGTAATAAGTAATACATATTTTATGAAAAAGAGGAAAAATAAATAAAACAAGGTATGATGTAGCACTAATGAATTTAGTTTGTTAGATTATGTATTGGTGGAAAAAAGGTTGAAGGGTAGGCTCCAGGACGTACATGTTTATAGAGGGGCAACTGATATATCGGATCATTATTTAGTTGTAGCTACAGTTAGAGTAAGAGGTAGATGGGAAAAGAGGAAGGGGGCAAACAACAAGAAAGGGAGGGAGGTGAGTGTATAAAACTAGGAGAGGAGGAAGTTCGGGCGAGAAAATAAGCGACTATTGGCAGAAAGGTGGCTAGTGCAAAGATGAGTTTGTGGGGGGTTGAAGAGGGTTGGAAATAGTTTTAAAAATGCAGTATTTAAATGGGGGCAGGGAAATTTGTGGCTATAGGAGGTGGGGGCAGGAGGAAAGAGGAGTGATTGGTGGAATGATGAAGTAAAGGGTGTGATAAAAAGAAAAAGGAAACTTAAGAGAGGTTTTTACAAAGCAGAAGTGTTATAAGAAAGCAGAGTATATGGAGAGTAAAAGAAAGGTGAAAAAGAGTGGTGAGAGAGTGCAAAAGGAGAGCAGATGATAGAGTGGGAGAGGCAATTTTCAAGAAATTTTAATGAAAATAAGAAAAAATTTTGGAGTGAGTTAAACAAGTTAAGAAAGCCTAGGGAAAGTGTGGATTTGTCAGTTAAAAACAGAGTAGGGGAGTTAGTAGATGGGGAGAAAGGGGGGTATTAGGTAGATGGCGAGAAAATTTTTGAGGAACTTTTAAATGTTGAGGAAGAAAGGGAGGCGTGTAATTTCATGCACTGGCCGGGAAGTATACTATCTTTTAGGAGCGAAGAAGAGCAGAATGTAAGTGGGGTGGAGGTACGTGAGGCCATTACGTAGAATGAAAGGGGGTAAAGCAGCTGGAACTGATGGGATCATGACAGAAATGTTAAAAGCAGGGGAGGATATATTTTTGGGAGTGGTTGGTAATTTTGTTTAATAAATGTATGAAAGGGGGAAGGTACCTAGGATTGGGGGGGCGGAGAGCGTGTATAGTCCCTTTACATAAAGGGAAAGGGGACAAAAGAGTTGTAAAAATTTTTGAGGAATAAGTTTACTGAGTTATACCAGGAAAAGTATACGGTAGGGTTATAACTGAAAGAATTAAGGCAAGACAGAATGTGGATTGCGGATGAGCAGGGAGACTTCAGAGTGGGTAGGGGATGTGTAAATCAAGTGTTTACATTGAAGTATATATCTTTCTTTCTTTCAACACCCCGGGCTGTATCCCACCAAGGGGGGGGTGGCCCAAAAGGAAAAACGAAGTTTCTCCTTTTACATTTATAAATTATACAGGAGAAGAGGTTACAGCCCCTTGCTCCCGGCATTTTAGTCGCCTCTTACAACAAAGCATGGCTTATGGAGGAAGAATTCTGTTCCACTTCCCCATGGAGATAAGAGGAAATAAACAAGAATAAGAACTAGAAAAAAAATAAAGAAGAAACCCAGAGGGGTGGTAATATATGTGCTTGTACATGTATGTGTAGTGTAAACCTAAGTGTAAGTAAAAGTAGCAAGACGTACCTGAAATCTTGCATGTTCATGAGACAGAAAAAAGGACACCAGCAATCCTACCATCATGTAAAACAATTACAGGCTTTCGTTTTACACTCACTTGCAGGACGGTAGTACCTCCCTGGGCGGTTGCTGTCTACCAACCTACTACCTATTGAAGTATAATGTGAACAGTATTTAGATAAAGGAAAGGGAAGTTTTATTGCATTTATGGTTTTTAGAAAAGGCATATGATAGAGTGGATAGAGGAGCAATTGGCAGATGTTGCAAGTATATGGAATAGGTGGTAAGTTACTAAATGCTGTTAAGAGTTTTTTATGAGGATAGTGAGGCTCAGGTTAGGGTGTGTAAAAAGGAGGGAGACTATTTCCCCGGGTTTAAAAGTAGGTCTTAGACAGGATGTGTAATGTCACCATGGTTGTTTAATTATTTATAGATGGGGTTGTAAAGGAAGTAAATGCTAGGGTGTTCGGAGGGGGGTTGGGATTAAATTTTGGGGAATAAAATTCAAATGGGAATTGGACACAGTTACTTTTTGCTGATGATACTGGCTTATGGGAGATTCTATAGAAAAAACTGCAAAGGTTAGTGGTTTTGATTTGAAAATGTGTGTAAAGGTTGAAAGTTGAAAAGTGAACATAGAAAAGAGTAAGGTGATGAGGGTATCAATGATTTAGATAAAGAAAAAATTTGGGTATCAAATTGGGGAGGAGGAGTAGGAAGAAGTGAATGTTTTCAGATACTTGGGGGTTGACGTGTCGGCGGATGGATTTATGAAGGATGAGGTTAATCATAGAATTGATAGGGAAAAAAAAAAAAGGGGAGTGGTGCGTTGAGGTATGTGGAGTCAAAAAACGTTATCTATGGAGGGGAAAGAAGGGAATGTATGAAAGTATAGTAGTACCAACACTCTTATATGGATGTGAAGCTTGGTGGTAAATGCAGCAGCGAGGAGACGGGTTTGGGGGCAGTGATGTCCTGGGCTAAGGGCAATGTGTGGTGGTAAATATGCAGAAAATTCGGAGTGTGGAAATTAGGAGAAGGTGTGGAGTTAATAAAAGCATTAGTCAGAGGGCTGGAAGAGGGTTGTTTTAGGTGGTTTGGTCATTTAGAGAGAATGGATCAAAGTAGAATGAAAATGGAAAGCATATAAATCTATAGGGGAAGGAAGGAGGGGTAGGGGTCCGTCCTCGAAAGGGGGGTTTGGAAAGAGGGGTAAAGGAGGTTTTGTGGGCGAGGGGCTTGGACTTCCAGCAAGCGTGCATGAGCGTGTTTGATAGGAGTGAATGGAGACGAATGATACTTGGGACCTTACGATCGTGGAGTGTGAGCAGGGAAATATTTAGTGAAGGGGGTTTTTATATAGTGGGATGATCCGGGAAAATGGGAAGTACAATGCCTGCACTTTTAAAGGGGGGGGTTTGGGATTTTGGGCAGTTTGGGGGGATATGTTTGTATCTCTATACGAATGCTTCTAAACTGTTTATTCTGGCACCTCTGAAAAAGCATGATAATGTGTGAGGTGGAAAAAGTTAAATGATGGAAGATTTTTTTTTTGGGATTTTTTTCTTTTTTTTTTGGGTCCCTCCCTGGGGGGGGGAAAACGGCTGACTTTTTTGAGAAAAAAAAAAAAAATTTTTATCAAATTCATGATTATCTTTATTCGTAAACTGAAAATTCATTCCCACCGGGGCTTATATTTATACGCCATCCACGGGAAAAAAATTTGCATTGAAACCCAAGGGTTACTTTGCCCTCCTTAGAGGTCAGAGGGGACCAACAGCATGCCTTTTCCCAAAAACCCTCCCACCACTAAGCCACAGGCTCGCTCCACACCAACAGCCCCGCCCCCTGACGACCCT